GGAGCGGGGGATGATGAACTAGGTGACCTGAGCTTATCTGGGGGAGGAGCCTGGAAGGGGTAGGGAGGGGCTTTCAGAGCAGAGGTGACAGGAATTGCAAATCACAGGGTGTGACAGGACTCAGCCTGGGGAAGGGGATGGTGGGGATTATTCCATGGGATCGGCTGGTGACAAAGCCTGGGGAGTGGGCAGCCCTGGGAGGGCTGTGAGCTGAGGAGGGGCAAGGCCAGCTCTGGGTGTGGGGACAGATATGGGGGAGGCGAGGAGGCTGAGGCCAGGCTCCAGAGGGGAGAGGATGAGGCCAGGCCTGGGATAGAGAGAAATGGACCAGTCGGGGAGAGTTTAAAAGAAATTATCGGCAGATATTGGTGGCCCCACTTTTCTGAGGGACCCAGAGGCCGGATTCCTCTTTTGAAGTTGGGGCTCCTTTCTCTTCTGTATCCTACTGCGAGCCCCCAAGGGATAACCCCCAGGGGACTGGGATGGAGGAAAGCACCAAGCCCCTCCTCTCACCCCTCCCTCCACGGCTGGCCTTAAGTGCCTGGTGCAGCTATGGGGACTGAGGGCAGATAAGGAGATGGACTTCCTGACCTCAGGGCACTAGAGGAAAGGCAAGCTCCTCCCACTTACCAGAAGCGGCACAGCCTTAGACTCCAGCTGTGGACATTCCCCAAGCTTTCCCCACAAATGTCTGGTGAGCTGCTTTCTGGGTACACGCCCCCACCCCCCACCGGCTCTCCGCCCTCTTCCTCCTCTCCATGCAGCCTCAGTCAAGGTCAAGGGGTCAAGGTCTGGAGGCACTTCCCTTGCAGGCTAGATGCCTCAGCAGTGGTCCATCCCCCTTCCTGGGTAAGGAGGGAGGGAACAACCAAGGAGGCGGAGACACATTGTTCTAGAACATTCTGTGTTTCTTTTTACCCAAACAAAACTAGCCCTATTCTCTGTCTTCTGTAAACAAATTTCAAAGGAACATTTAGGGCCCCACCATGCCAGCCCAGAGATTAAGAGGTTTGATTGTAAAGGTGTGTTCTTCCAATTTTCACCTACTAGATGCTGGGAAATAGACACCAAAAAAAAAAAACAAAAAAGAAAAGAGGGATGTGGGGAAATGAGAAACTCGAGGCAGGGAGATGTTGGCAGAGACTCAATGAGAGAGGGAGAAAAAAACAGATGGAGCTAGACAGGCACCAGACAGAGGTGAGACCTGATTCCTTCTGTCGCTATTTCCTGGGCATCTGCTCTGTGCCAGAACATGACGACACTGTCCCTCCCTTCACAGAGCTGTGTGTGTAGTAGGAGACCAGGACTCTCCCAGAGATCCCCAAAGGGACTGACGGGGAGAGAGAGGGAATTGGGACAGAGCAGGGGCCACAGATGGGACCCAGCAGAGATAGATCCCTCCTGCCTGCCTTATTCTTTCTCCCTCTCTCTTTCTGTCTTTCACTGTCTCTATCTCTCCTCTTGTCTTTCTATTCCTATCTCTGTCCCTGTCTCTCTTTCCCTGCCTCCATCTTTCTCACT